ACGTGACGAGTACTAAATATACCCCCCGCCTCCCATATAATAAATGGCAGTGTCCATGTTTTGCTCTGGAAAATCAAAAATATACGTCAGATCAAAAAGTAAAATAGGAGTTGCACAATGGCAATATGTAATAAAGAATCTGTGAAAGTTTCATTAAATTTCCTTCAGTGGTATGAGAGGAGTTGCGGATAAGAGATGGGTACCCCAAAGCGTAACAGACGGACGGACAGACGGACGTACAGACGGACGGACGGAAATTCCGATTACTATATACCCTCCCACTTTTCAAGCGGGGATATAATTACGATTTTTTTTTAAATGCATGCACGTATTTCATTCAGAATGTTCCTCTTTACATATTTAACTATGATTTTTATAGGATTAAAGATATTAAAAAAAATATGTGTTCGTACGAATAGCTGTCGCTTATCTTACCTCCTGGGTAGGTCTTTGTGACCACATGAAAACATTTCATTGCTTTTTGCACATTATCAGTTCCTATCCATTCTGGACATATTTTCCTCCCAGTGGAAGGCCAGGAGTCTATTTTTATAGCAGGCACCAAGTCAATATCTACTGTTGGTATTCCTGAGCCCAGGTCAAATTGGAGTGTGAAAGCCGGACTCTCTGGTTTACGTGGCATTCCTAAAAAAAAACAGCTCTCCTAGGTCTATCACATCCTTTTAAAGTTTGCAGTCCCCCGCAAGTAGATTGTGGCATTTCCATTTGATTAAAAATTCTCGAAAAAAAAACCGTAGGCAAACAAACAAACAAACAAACAGACAAACAGATTATAATAGCCAGTAGACACCTACTTTTTATTCTTCTTCCTTGTCTAAAACCAGGACTTGTTATACAATCCTCAAAAATGCTGAACATTTTTTGTTTAAAGAGTTCGGGAACGAGATATCCATCTTTGTTTAAAGCCTGATCCAGGTCGTCAATGGTTGTTCGACCTTTCCTTATCTTACAAAATCCAGGAGGACAATTTGTGAAAACTGCCTCAAACTTTCCGCTTGGACAAACCATAAAATCAAATTCGTCATCGTACTCAATCTGTAAAATCAACGAAAATTGATATTAGATAATAAACATATTGAATGTATCACGATGTTACTCAGTGTCGCACGTATCCAACATATATGTATAAATATTTCCTTAGATTTTATCCTTTGTTTACTCAGGATGGGAGATTCCTTTTAAATGAAGATTTCACTCAAGAGTTTTTGCTTAACCTTTACAAATTGTTTTCAATTTTTTAATCGATGAGATCGAAATAAAATGAGCAAAAAGTTTTTCAGTATCTGTACATTAGTATCTGCATCTGTCTGTCTGTTTAACTTAAGCCTGTCTGTTTGAAATTCTTCAAAATATTCAATTATCTGCAGACAATATTTCTTTATGTTTTCATTATTTTGTGCCTTGATGGCAGATTTTTTCTCAAATTCAAACTTTTTAAGATTCATTTTCATCACGAAACAATTTTATGTCACTTATATTAGACAAGAGGCCCATGGGCCACATCGCTCACCTGAGCACTGCGGCTAGGAAAAAGTAGAAATTGGTTTATTATTGAAAAGTTTAAATCCAAAAGTACTCCAATGACCAATCATGGTTTTGGTATTCTTGAGAAGATGATTTTTAAAGAATTTTCCTATATATTTCTATGTAAAACTTTGGTCGGCCATTGTGGCCCCGCCCTACCCCCGGGGGTCATTATTTGAACAAACTTGAATCTTCACTACCTGAGGATGCTTCCATATAAATATGATCAATTATGACTTTGCTATTCTTAGAAAAAGATTTTTAAAGAATTTTCATATATATTTCTATGTAAATCTTTGGTCGGCCACTGTGGCCCCGCCCTACCCCCGCGGGTCATGATTTGAACAAACTTGAATCTACACTATCTGAGGATACTTTCATATTAATATGATCAATTATGGCTTTGCTATTCTTGAGAAGAAGATTTTTAAAGAATTTTCCTATATATTTCTATGTAAAACTTTGGTCGGTCATTGTGGCCACGCCCTATCCCCGGGGGTCATGATTTGAACAAATTTGAATCTACATTACTTGAGGTTGCTTCCGTATAAATATGATATGTCATGGCTTTGTTATTCTTGAGAAGATTTTTAAAGAATTTTCATATATATTTCTATGTAAAACTTAGTCGGCCATTGTGGACCCGCTCTACCCCCGGGGGTCATGATTTGAACAAACTTGAATCTACACTACCTGAGGATGCTTTCATATTAATATGATCAATTATGGCTTTGCTATTCTTGAGAAGAAGATTTTTAAAGAATTTTCCTATATATTTCTATGTAAAACTTTGGCCGGCCATTGTGGCCACGCCCTACCCCCGGGGGTCATGATTTGAACAAATCTGAAACTATACTACATGATGCTGATGCTACATGTACCATATCAATATGATTAATCATGACATTGCTGTAGTGTTCTTGAGAAGAAGATTTTTGAAACATGCCACCAAATTTTTAATAATTCCCAATTATCTCCCCTTGAATAGGGCGTGGCCCTTCATTTGAACAAACTTGAATCCCCTTCACCCAAGGATGCTTTGTGGCAAGTTTGGTTGAAATTGGCCCAGCAGTTCTTGAGAAGAAGTCGAAAATGTGAAAAGTTTACAGACAGCGAACAGCTAACAGACGGACGCCGGACAAAATGTGATCAGAAAAGCTCACTTGAGCCTTCGGCTCAGGTGAGCTAAAAAATTAGGAATGGATTTTTTTTCGAATCCAGTACTACTTACAATAGTTTTGGCATAGTGAGAACCGAGTACAGTACCACTTTCTGTATTTTGTCATAACGAGAACCGAAATCAGTACCACTTTCCGTAGTTTTGTTATAGTGAGAATCGGGTGCGCAATACCACTTAAATATCGGAGTTTTGCCATAATGAGAACCGAATACAATACAATTTACAGTGGTTTTGTAATAGGGAGAACAGAATCTTTAGTTCAATTTACTGTAGTTTTGATTTAGTGAAAACCGAATACAGCTACAATTTACCGTAGTTTTGTCATAATGAGAACCGAATACAGTAACACTAACCGTAGTTTTGTCATAATGAGAACCGAATACAGTACCATATACCGTAGTTTTGTCATAATGAGAACCGAATACAAAAGCACTAACCGTAGTTTTGGCATAGTGGGAACCGAATACAGTACTATTTAGTATTTACCGTAGTTTTGTCATAGTGAGAACTGAATACAGTAATCTCTACCGTAGTTTTGTCATAGTGGGGACGGAATACAGAAACACTAACCGTAGTTTTGTCATAGTGAGAACCGAATACAGTGACACCAACCGTAGTTTTGTCATATTGAGAACCGAATACGGTACCACTAACCGTAGTTTTGTCATAGTGAGAATTGAATACAGTAATATTAACCGTAGTTTGTGTCATAGTGAGAACTGAATACAGAAACACTAACCCTAGTTTTGTCATAGTGAGAAACAATTACAGTAACACTTACCCTAGTTTTGTCATAGTGAGAATTGAATACAGTAATATTAACCGTAGTTTGTCATAGTGAGAATTGAATACAGTAACACTAACCGTAGTTTGTCATAGTGAGAACCGAATACAGTAATATTAACCGTAGTTTTGTCATAATGAGAATTGAATACAGTAATATTAATCGTAGTTTGTCATAGTGAGAATTGAATATAGTAACACTAACCCTAGTTTTGTCATAGTGAGAACTGAATACAGTAACACTAACCCTAGTTTTGTCATAGTGGGGACCAATACAGTACCAGTACCAGTTTGTCATAGTGAGAATTGAATACCGTAGTTTTGTCATAGTGAGAATTGAATACAGTAACACTAACCCTAGTTTTGTCATAGTGGGGACCGAATACAGTACCACTTACCGTACTTTTGTCATAGTGAGAATTGAATACAGTAATATTAATCGTAGTTTTGCCATAGTGAGAACCAAATACAGTAACACTATCCCTAGATTGTCATAGTGGAGACCAATACAGTAATACTTACCATAGTTTGTCATAGAGGGAATCGAATACAGTACTACCAACCGTAGTTTTGTCATAGTGGGAAATGAATACAGTAACACTCTAGTTTTGTCCCGAATAGTTTTGTCATAGTGAGAACTGAATACAGTACTATTTAACGTAGTTTTGACATAGTGAGAACCGAATACAGTAATACCTACCGTAGTTTGTCATAATGGGAACCGCATACAGTACTATTTACCGTAGTTTGGTCATAGTTAGAACCGAATACAGTTCCATTTAGCGTAGTTTTGTCATAGTGAGAACTGAATATAGTAACACTAACCCTAGTTTTGTCATAGTGAGAACTGAATACAGTAACATTCACCGTAGTTTTGTTATAGTTAGAACAGAATGCCATACCACTCACCGATGTTTTGTCGAAGTGATAAACGAGAATTGAGCATCTTCAAGGGAATGTTTGAAATCCCGTCCATTGCTTTATTTAAACTTTCAATGAATTCGTTGACCCCTTTTCTTGTCGACGCGTTATCTTTTCTTCGAATTTTAATTTCTCCTTCGAGCATTGCTATGTACTTTGTTACGTTTGTCACATGAAATGGTAGACTCGAATCTGTAAATTATACACTGAAGTTGGTTAGCTTAAACCTTTATGTGAAAAGGAAAGAAGACACTATATCATAATATTCAAAATATTTTTGTTTAAAAAATGGTTAATATTTTTAAATTTAAAAAAATTGATAAAACACTATTGGACTCACTTGACGGTGACGTAATTGATATGTGGTTTTCTAAAAGTCTTGATTTTGTACAGCCTCCATCTGCGTCGCCACAATGGGAACAACAGACATTATGCATACGTTTCACTTTTGGAAATTTTCTGTCATCTTCAACTGTAGAACGAGGGCTTGGTTTCCCATCACTTTTTTCTGTGGATTCATCTTTCCCTCCAGTCGACGATGTTCTTCGGCGAAGTTTATCATTTTCTTCTACCGACGATGTTCTTCGGCGATGTTTATTATAATTTTCTTCTATCGACGACGGTCTTCGGCGAAGGTTATCATCATTTTCTTCTATAGATGATCTTCGTTGGCGATATTTATCATCATTTTCCTCTATCGATGATGGTCTTGGTCGATGTTTATTATCATTGTCTTCTATCGTTGTTGTAATTCGGCGAGGTTCTTTATGGTCATGCCTATCTTCCTGCTTGTGCTTTCTTGACATATGTACGCTTAGTCCGCGTTCATTTTTAAATTCCCTCTGACAAATTCCGCACGTTGCAGGAGTTGCTTTCTCAGTTAAAAAAGAACATTAAA